TGGGGGGGGGGGGATCAGGGCAGATAACTGACTCTAAAAGGGATTGAAAAGTAGTTGCACTGTTGCTTTACAAGGGGTGGAGTTTTAAAATGTAGTCCAAAAGCCGTAAGTATCACTTGAATCGTTGCCAGAACAAATTAGTGAGCAGTTAAATAATAAAGCGAAAACTGGCAACTATGGCGCTTTCGGAAAGAGCCTTTATAATGAAAATGATTGATTTTGGTCGTAAGTAGACGAGCAGAGGTGAATTAACCATCACTGCCATCATCCGCCACCTAAAATCGCCAGTTTACGATTCAAAACATAGGCGGCCGCGCGCCGAACCGCTCCGTTTTTGCGCTTTTGCTCCCTCAATTTTAAAGATAAACCTATGATGTATTTATACCAAATCAACGCTAAAAGAACGATCTACAACTTTTACTGAAGGGTATTTTTCGATCCGGGTCTTCATAAGGACGTAAATACAGAAAATGCCGGTCAATAATTCTCAATTTTCAATTTCTTTCCATTTTACTCACATTTAAATTACTTTAACATTCAAAACTAAAGTTTATTCGAAAAGTAGACTTAATTACCTACAGTTTCAAAAAAAATGAACTCTCTAGGTCCATTTCTCGCATCGTGGTGAATTTTTGAAAACATGTCCAATTTTCAACTTCATCGGACCACTGTGCGCAGTTCCCCAAGGGGATTCATGGGGACTTCTGGCTAAAAACTCCTTTTCATATGAAGAATCGATTGGGTCTAAATCCAGCCGTATGTTCGTTTTCGGCCATGAAAATACTTCGTTTCCTGGACTATTTTTATTTGTTGTCATTTTAAGTTGTTCATATTTTATTGTCTTTTGGGGGCAATTAAGTCGTTCTTCGTCTAAGGGCTATTATCGCGAAACATTGTGCCATTTGAAAACTCGAATCCGGGTGTATATAAGTATATATGTCTTACTCCATCCAAAATCCCTGAAGAACATCTCAAACTTTTTCTGTTTGCTGACACATAGTGCAATACAGCAAGCAAATTTAACGGTCCAGGGGCTATTTGCTTCTCTGGAATTTTCTTTTTTTTTGGGGGGGGGGGTAGATAGCATCCTATTTTTTATTCTTTCTTTTCTAATAATACTTCTAATTTTAGGAGGACTA